GTTCTAAATGCTTGGATTCGTTAGAGGACCCCCTAAGCCATGTGCAAACCTGATTTGGCTTTGATCTGAACTTTCGTTAATTTATGGCGAATTGTTTTCTCCCCCATAGGAAAACATGGAGCTGTCAGATTTTGACAGGTCCATTGATTCCTATGGGCCGGAAAAAAAAATTAACCATAAATTAATGAAAAGTCAGATCAAAGCCAAATCAGGTTTGCACATGGCTTAGGGGGTCCTCTAACGAATCCAAGCATTTAGAACTGTTTTTGACCCTTCTAAGACACTTTTCTAAATGAAAAAAGAAACATCGTTAAGTGAAGCAGGGGACCTAAAATCGCATTCGTTATGCGAAGCATGGTCCCAAACTTCGCTAAGCGAAAATCGCCCATAGGAAACATCGTTATACGGTGCATATTATTTTCTAAAAAAACACATCGTTATACGAATTCATCGCTAAACGAGGCAATCGTTAAGCGAGGCACCACTGTAACTTAAAACTGTATGGCTAGTTGAAATACATGGAGCAATTACTAAGTGATCTGCAGTAATTGCCAAAATAATTTTGTATTATGGGTTAAATCCAACACAAGGCTTTTCCCCCCCACTGCTTTCTCCATTTAGTCCTCCTGAATCCCCCAATTTACTATTTTCCTGGGCTCTCCTATATTTTCTGGGCCTCTACAATTCAGGCCCAAGAAAGACGAGTCTCAACATATCCAGGATTATGCTGATAATTTAAAGGTACAGGAAGTGGCAATTTGTGATTTATTGATTTCTATCAGTGGCCTGGAGAACAAAGTTCAAATCCCCACTTAGCCATGGAAACTCACTGGGGCAGGGAAACTGGTAAAAGTCCTCCGTAAATATCCTACTTACCCGGAAACCCTATTAGTATCCCTATAAGTCAGTTCCGACTTGATGACATAGAACACATAAACACCAATGTGTTTATTAGCTAATAATGGAAAAGAAAATATTGCCACTATTAGGATAATGGAAGATGAAATGTGGATCTTTGCTGTTTAGATGTACAGTAAAATAGGCAAAGTATATTAACACAGAGATGATAATTGCATGTTATGAAGAGAACAATAGACTAGGATTATAATTGGGTTATGCTGCTGGTATTTTGATCTTGTGCAAAGTAGCATTTCAATATGCCACTGGTTTAGCTCAAGTAAGACAAGGATACACTGCAAGCAGAATCTACGAATGTATGACTGAATGAAGTCAAAGTGTTCTTCTCTGTAATCGTGCTCCTTTTCTAATATACTCATTGCATCACACTGAAAAAGAAACACAAAGAGAAACTTTGAAGACCTCCGTAAGTGCAAGCTGCATGTAGAACATGCATTTTTTGACATAAATCAGGCTGACATAAACAAACTGTTAGATGAACTGAGCAAAACATTTACCACGTATCACTAAAGTTGGGTAGACAAAGCATCTTTTCTTAGACTACCATAAAAGCATGAATTTAAGCCTCACAGATACCACATACAGTAGGACTCCCATATCTACGGGGGATTTCCAAGCCCCCTGTGGAAACTGAAAAGCACAGATTATAGCTAACACAATCTACTGGACCCAGGACTCCCCTGTACAGTGGTGCCCTGCATAGCGACGTTAATCCATTCCAGGATTAACGTCGCTAATCGGATTCGTCGCTATGTAGGGGGGAAAACCCATAGGAACGTTTAATGCGTACCTATGGGGTGAAAACTCACCGCTATGCAAAGATTCCCCCATCTGGCTGCCATTTTCGCCACCCGGTAAGCGAGGGCAGGGCGTGAAAATGGAGCGGGTGGCCATTTTTTTCTTCAGGCAGCCATTTTGGAACCGTCAATCAGCTGCTTTTAGAACATCACAATGCGAAGATCGGTAAGCAAAACGCTTACCGATCATCGCAATGCGATGTTTTGCCATTCAAAATGTCACAATGTGATCGCATTAGCGATTGCAAAAAACACGTCGCTATGCGGATTCATCGTTAAACGGTGTGCTCGTTAAGCGAGGCACCACTGTACTTGTATATTTTATCTCAATGGGGTCTCCAAGAGCAGAGTTGAAATTTTCTCTTGTTCCTCAATGTGCTGAAGACTGAAGACGACAGTCTCTCTTTCTCTCTCTCTCCCTCTCTCTCTCACACACACACACACACACACACACACAATTGCTCTGCAAGTTTTCTTCTTCAAAGACTATTAAGAATGCATTTCCTTGTTTGCATGGAAGTACTAAGGAGGGGGCTAGCTGGAAGGCAAGAAGGGTGGGAGATAGGAAACCTCTCGCAGGAGGAAATTTGGCTTAGGTTAATGCCTTTCCTCTGACCTTTCAAGCCAACCCAAATGTGAGTTTTACAACAACACTACTCTGGAATGCAGAAGCTGCCTCAAGCTGCCAGGAGACTAAGTGAAATAGCAGTGGGTTAGCTATATAGCATTGTGACTGGTTCCCTCCAGAGGCCAGTTCTGATAATTACATCTTGAAAATCCATACTGTACAGTGGTGCCTCGACTTACAGACATCCCAACATACAACAATTTCGAGTTGCAACCAGCTCCAGCCATAAAATTTTGCCCAACTTGCATCCGGAGCTTCGAGTTGCGACAGGAAAAAGGCAGGGGAAAAAGGCGTTGGTAGGCGAAGAGGCTGCTTCTTTGTAGCGCTTTCGCCCCAAAGATTAAAGTGAGTGCATCACACGAGGCTTGGGACTGCCTGAAGCTGCTTTCTGCTCCTGAGTACTCGCTCCAACGATTAGAGTGCATCACAGGAGGCTTGGGACTGCCTGAAGATGCTTTCTGCTCCTGAGTAAGTACATTTACAGTGGTGCCTCGCAAGACCAATTTAATTCGTTCTGTGTGTAATGTCTTCTTGCGAAAAATTTGTCTTGCGAAATGCGTTTTCCCATAGGAATGCATTGAAATCTAATTAATGTATTCCTATGGGCAAAAAAAGTCAGAACAAAGTCAAATTTGGTTTACAAAGGGTTTATTAAGTGCTCTTTAAAGCCATACATATTGTGCAGATGATATAAAAATGTCAATCAAAAAACTTTAATTTTTAAACATCATAGAAAAACATTTCAAAATCAGTTAACATGAGGCAGGAGCAAAAATGCTTCTTGCGAAGCACGGCCATAGGAACATTCGTCTTGCGAGTCATCAACCTCATCGCCAAAACCATTCGTCTTGCGAATTTTTCGTCCCGTGAGGCATTTGTCTTGCGGGGCACCACTGTACTTTGTTTTGCAGGGTGGGTTTGGGGGGTTATATGTTTCTGTGCTAAGTAAAATATGTACCCAATTTTGTATCATTAAGTGCCAACTGAAAAGCCCAACAAGCAATTTTTGTTTCAGTGGTTAAAAACTGCTCTCCAGAAGTATGAAATTTCAGTTCTTTAAAATGGCTACTTCTGACCATTTTACTGAAACAGAGGAGCCACTTTCTTCCTCTAACTGCTCCAGTGGAAGCCCCAAATTTTGCTTTCAAACAAATATATATCAGTCCATTAATGTTTACTTGCTTTTAATTATTTCACTGTATTTTAATTAGCATATAGTTTAATTGTTTTTAGTGTTTAACTTACTGTTTTTAATTCCTATTCCTTTGAATATTGTGAGCTGCTTTGGTCCCCTTATCGGGAGAAAGGTGGCCTGCAAACAAAAGCAACATACAGGCAAGACAGACAAGCTACACTGCTAGACAGGGAACCAAGGCTCAAGCTCACCTTTGTACAAACAACTATCACAGGTATCCCAAGGTTGTGTGTCAGGACATTATCTCCAAGTGGTAGAATAACATTTTCGTCCTCTTGTCCTGGTGGACCTCTTCTTTGTGGTGATCCCTGATAACCTTCCTCAGGTTCTACATATTCTTGAAACGCCTTCACAACTGAGAATAAGGAAAGAACAAAACAGAGGAAAATGAGATTTAAAAAAGCAGTACCTTAAAATTATGCTGCTGTAAATAGGTTTGAAATTGCCATCAGTCAAAGAATTTAGACAATTATTTTGTAGGCGTCACCAGTTTATCTTCCATATCTTTTGTTTTTCACTTAGCCCCCACAAACATACACAGTCATCATCTCGGAATGTAGTTTTCACTAAGGTTTTTGACATAGTATTCAAAAATTATTTGAGTATGTCTTGGTTTGAAACTTCAATGCTGCAGCAATTTAGGAGTTCCAGAAATGATAGGAACATAGTTTTTGATTGAGGAAGACAACACCGATTTGTACATCAGACTTGGTGACTCTTTCCACAGATTCCATGGACAAAATGAAGATCTTCAGAAAATACTTTTTTGTTTTGTTTTGTTTTCATTGTTTGGATTTTTGTAATTAGAGCAGGCCCTTTTGAATCATTGGAATCTACAGAGGAGGTGGCTTACCAAATCCCCAGTGATTCAATGCAGCCAACTGTAGTGCAACTTACCATGCTAAGTAACAGCATTTCAACTACAGAATCACAAAAGTAAAGTCGAAAAGGATCCTGGACATCATCTAGTCAAATCCTCTATCAGGGAAGGGAATCCGCATCCAAAGGATGCCTGACAGATGGTCATCCAACCTCTGCTTAAAAACCTCTGACAAAGAAACACCGACTAATCTCAAAGCTGCATTTTATATGTCACCCTCCACATGCATGGACAACTCACCAGTACTCTACCCTCTTTTCTTTGTCAGAAGCCAGAAAGAAACACCAAAAGAAACATTCACAGCAAGAAGCAATGCTCCATCTCTTAAGTTTCTGAGCTCCGATATTTACTGAGATGTTTCCATGAATAGCCTCTTGGGGACAACCACAGCATGTAAAAAACCAATATCTTGCTCTCCTTAGGGTGATTTTTTCCTCACACATCCCGAAGCTACCGTTATAGCTGTCATGACAGGTCCCCGAGGGCAGGGGTGGGGAGGGCAGACCACCAACCCTTCCACTCCCTGCCTTTTTCAACCGTTCGCTTCCATTTCGGCAGAGGCAGGTCTGCCACAATTGCTGCAAGAAATGTTACAACCAGGGAGAAGCATGAATAGCTAGCTACGCATTTTACTGAAGTCCGAAAGCAGGCATTTAATTTCACCACAAAAGCTCATGGTTTAACTCACACAGCAAAAATAGAATGATGTCATCCCACTGCAAACATCCTTATGTGGTTGAGGAAGAAAGGGCTGAATTTATCCACCATATTTAAGTTTATTTCTTAGTTTGACGGAGCTGAATAACACAGATTTGAAAAGTCAGAGGAGTGAAGTCAGACTACCATTTTAAAATGAGCAGAACACAAGGTCAAGGGCAGACAGCAGATAACAATTTTTTTAAAAACATAAGTTTTTTAATGTAGATCTGATTTTTTTTATTTGACACAGGATTTTTTAATTGTTATTATTGAAATGCTTGGGTTTTTCTTAAAGGCCCTATATTATGGTAGTTTTAATCTAATATGTGTTACAGCTCACAGATCTCATTATGGAATAAGGATTATAAATTCTAATTCACATTCTGTATTAGGAAATAATATAGTGATATCATCTTTTCAAGAAAGTTCTCTAAATCAAGTTGAACAGTTTTCAAATTCGAATCTCAATGTTTTATGATTTTGCCAGCTTCTGTATATATTGTTTAGGCTAGTCTTTCTATTTTCCCCAATATTCACTAGTATATACCATCAGAAAAATATACAGTCCTCAAACTGAATTTGTGTTTCAGAAATACATACTTGTTAACATCAATGTATCACCATTAGCCCTATTTTCCAAATTTGATTGAATTTATTCCCAGGTATTTTTCCCCCTCAGCATAAAATAATGTTGGAAATTCTTGGAGCTTTGTCAAAATCTCCAAGATTGCTTTCAAATGCTCAAAGTTCCTCAAATCCTGCTTCTTCCTTTACAGCAGCAACCCTACTTATCACAACTTTGTGTAGACAAAGCCAAACCCTTACCTCTCTCTCTGAAAGTGCATACTTTCAGACACTGGAAGTTGTCACTGAATAGAGGGTGACTGGAGTTGGAATCCATCTGGGCAAGGAGATGGTGAAAAATATGCTTTAAGATTATAGCAAGCAAGAGTGTACTTTTTCATGTGAAAAAAAATCACATGATTAAATCAGTTTTTTTCCTGAGAAATGATTTAAATCATGGTTTAAAACAATTTGATTTAAATCAAATCTATGTTGCTCTAAATTAAAAGTTCCATTACAACTATTCAGCTCACAATATTCAAAAAGAAATGGCCATTAAGACCATCTAGTAAACTGCCCAGCTGGCCCTGATCTCTTTATTGTGGAGCCACAACAAACAGAATGATGCCATCTAAAATTGCAAAGGCAGGCCTTTCCTGCAATGGCACCCAAGCTCTGAAATACTCTCCTTCAAGAAATTCAAGAGGCAAACTGATTTTTATGGAGTTCTTAACAATCTCTTTTGGTGGGCTTTCTCTGCCCATGAGCAATTATTTCAACCTAGTCATCAATACACTGTAGCTCATGCCTTTTCACAAAATTCTTTACTATCTCTGAAAGCTTTTAAATTGTTTACAATGCATTATATTGTGTTAAACACACTTAACTCGAAGCCTAGAGATGTTATCATGTCAACTGCAATGTAAATATTGTAAATAAATTTGATTTTAAGTTGGATACCAATCATCTGCCTTTGAGAACTTACATGCTGGAGAATGCCAAACGGTACTTGTGACTCTTTAGGCGTTATCCTCTTAAAACTAACGTTGTTGGTGGCTACAAGGCAGCTAATGTCACGAGACATTTACTGGTTCCAGTGACCACTTTTAAACTTATTTCTAGAATTCACTAAAATAAGTTACCACTGTGCAGAAAAACTGCTAAGTCCTATTTATTCCTATGAACTTTGAGCTAGCTACTTGCGAGTGAATCTGGGTGGTGAGCAGAGTTTTGGCACCACTATTGCAATTTAACCACTGCACCACAAGGCTCCTCACAATGTCTCAGACTGCCACAAATTTATAATCATGTCCAACCATTACTTAAATTTAAACAACTCAGGCATGTAGGGTTCACATGCCACTCTGCAACTGTTGCAGCAAGACCATGGAGGATAATTAAAAAAAAAAAAAGATTTCTTAAAATTTTCTTACAAAAGTGGAATATCATATATCTAAAAGGCATGATTGTCTTCTGTAACAAGGCATGGTCTCTCTTACAGCTTGTTTTATCTAGAATTCCATTTGTTTTAAAAATGACATTTTTTAAAAGTTAAGAAGTACAAAATCAGGCATTAATTTCTGGTTTCATCTGGAGGAAGTGCTACAGAACTCCAGAACTTGTCCACTCTGCCTTAAGTTCCCTGCTCTTGATTATACTGTATTTCCATTGCCTTTGGTTCATGATCAGATGACAATAAAGCAGCAGAATTACAGTTTTGAGCTCCCTTTTGAAGATTTTAATAACTGCATCAAAATCTTGTATATGTGCTCCCTAGTAACGAAAAAGATCTGTTATTTGAAAATGCTGTCAAAGGAAGTTCCTTAGTTAAAATGTTGCCACTATCATAACACCGACTAGCCATGATACATCAAGACAAAATATATGGCCAACCTCCTTGGCACCAAGCATACATCATTGTTAAAAGTCTCCCCCACAGCAAGCTTCAAGCCACTGAAGCAACAAGAGCTCAACAAGACTTTGAGTGCAACTATTTGAGCCCTACAAAACATTTTTATCTGCTCTTGAAGTATTTCATGTAAGCAGTGTTAAAAAATCTAATGTTAAAAATAGACCATACATTGGGGTTCAATAGCCAAATACACTTTTAAAAGACCAAAAAAATGAAGCATACTAATTTAAATGACACAAAGGTTCATAACTGGTTGTTTATCCATTGTGCCTGGACAAAGCTACTGAATTCTGCAAGGCTCCAAAAAGTTGCAAGAGGTATAACAGCAGTGAAGAGATGCTCGCCAATACACCCAGGTCCGCTGTTAAATACCTGGGTTGAGACTGCATGTGATAAAACAAAAAATAAAAATATGGGTCCCGACCACTTCCCTCATGCAGTGCTACATTTCTGGCCTCCACCAGACTTCAGTAGAGGAAAAAGTGCTTGTTCACAATGCAATTAAAACTAGTGAGGTTGAAGGAAGAGTCTCATTATAATATATAGCAGGATGGAAAGAATTTGGTCCTCCAAATGTTCTAAACTGTAACTCTCAGAATCCCATACAAACAACTATGCTGACTTTTGGGAACAGAAGTTCAAAATACTTGGAGGGCCAAACATTTCTCAGCCCTGATACTATGTTTGTGAACCATGTCCTGAGTGGAATTTTAAAAGGATGAAATCGTTGGAAAAGGACTCTGATAATCACTATTCAAAATGCTCAAGAAAGAAAGCGCTTCATTCTTGAGGAAGTTCACCTAGTCATCTGAGCATGACTAAGACTCTGCAGCCTGAGGACATTTTAGCAGAGATCAGGCAGGACTACTATGAATGTTCCAAGTGAAACAAATGACAGCCGCAAAAACACATTTCATACAGGTTAGAGCAAAAGGCTAAATCATGCAAGTGTGAAGCTGTACAGAAAATAAGAAGAAAAAGAGAGGATTGGCCCTACTTCCAGTGTCAAAACCCCATGAACCTTTACATTAACAGAGACCGCAGGAAAACACTAGAAAAAACGGGGGATTGGGGGAGAGATGGCCTACTTTAAATGTCACCAAAATATCAACTCATACTTGATTATCAGCAGAGATTGCAGGCAAACACCAGAAAAATTAAGGGAGGGTTTCAGTGTTACTGCCCACCCACTAAGAGCATGCTACCATTGGTGACAACTGAGAAAAAGAAAAGTTGATTCCTTCACAACCTGGGAGATCCTCACTTCCATAATAATTAACCTTCTGCTTCCAGCATATTTTTAAATATATATATACAGGCCCATAGCAGTATAAGTTCTTGAAGACAACATTCTTTAAAGAAACATCAATGTGTCCTGTTCTCAAAACGAATACACTATTCATCTGAACACTCACCCAATATAATCCCAAGATTTCTGTATCTTTCTCTAAAAGGATAAAGAATAGAAAACTGTTTGCTTTCAAGCCTTGGAGTTCTCAGAATGCCAATCTTCACTAATCATTTGTTCACTGAACAAACACAGAATACATGTTCCTTGAAGCAATACTCATATAAGCAGTTATAGTTTCTGTTTGAAACTTATCTGTAGCAAAGTCAGCCAACCAAGCACTAGTGACAATCTAAACAAAAACGGCTAAGCTGGAAGTGCCCACAGTCTGGCACTGAATAAGGCCATTACATGTGAGCATCTCAATCTACTACTTAAAGATGGGGGAGAGGTTCAGTCATGCATTACTTACATTTCTGTTCCATGTCTCTCATCTCCTCAGGAGGAATTTTCAGCTTATCAATATGTTCACGCAATACACTTGTCCACTTCTGTAAGGATTCCATAATCGTCCACGGCCTAGACATATCTGCCGCAAAGATCACAAGGGTCTCTTGCAATGTGTCTGCTGAAACAGCAAACTTCAAGAGACCTTTATGGTACAAATCCCCATCAAGAATCCAGACGTTACAGCGAGTCTGATCTGTAAAAGAGGGGGAAAATCTTCTCATTAGGAGAGGAGGCCTCTTAAAATGTGTAACATTTTTATTAACAGATACAGATCATCTATGACTAGAAGATTTACACATTTCCTAACTGAAAATGTCTAAGTTACTCTTAATTCTGGTTAAGTATATGACAGTTAGGACAAACATTAGTACAAAGTCTAATTTATAGATGGGGATCCTTAAACCTTTCAAATGTTTTGAACCGCAATTCCCAAAGTCCCTCATCAATGGAAGAGGTAAAAATAATTATTTAAAATTTAAAGAATACATTTTTAAAAAATTAAATCAGTTTTTAAAAATTTCATTAAAACTTTATTTTGCTTAAAAAGCCTTATGTAGTTTTAATTTAAAATATTTTGTATCTCTATGATTTTATTGTGGAACAGGTATTATAATTACTAATTCTGCGGGACAAAACATTCAAGTATTTAGAAACAATTTTTGGACTGTGCACTAACCTGCAGTCCTCAAACTGAGTTTCTGTCTCTAGAGATATATACTTTTTAACAGTATTTTAAGGACATATGAAATGACAGACCCAATTAATTCTATTTTCCAAATCTGACAAAAGCTATTCCTGAAGTTTTTTCCCCCTCTCAATATGACATAATACTGGAAATTCTTGGAAGCCCTATGAAAATCCACAGGATTGATTATTAAAATCTTTGGCCCTGCTCTCAATAACTTCTTACAGAAATGCTGATTCAGAACGGCAATGTGGCTATTGTCCCCCTGCAACTTTGAGTAAACAAAGTCAAACCCGTACTTCCTTCTCTTACAGTGCATGCTTTCAGACACTGGAACTATCATTGAACAGAGGCTTAATGGAGGTGGAATCAATCAAGGCAAGGACATTTATGAAATACATATACTGTAGTAAACATGTATTAGCTTCACACTTTTCAGTGCACTTTTGGGAGAGGGGAGCATATGATTATACAAAGTCTTTCTGAGTAGTGATTTAACTTGTGATTTAAATCTACAGTGGAGCCTCGCAAGACGATTTTAATTTGTTCCGTGAAAATCGTCTTGTAAAAAAATTGTCTTGCGAGATTCCCCTATGCATCGCTCTCAAAAAAAAGTCTTGCGAAGCATCGGTCTAAAAAAAGTCTTGCGAAAAATCAGTTTTAAAAAAGTCTTGCGAAGCACTGTCACAGAAAAAAAGTCTTGCGAGGCACCATAATGATCGCAAAAACCAATCGTCTTGAGGGTTTTTCGTCCCACGAGGCAATCGTCTAGTGAGGCACCACTGTATTTGAGTTAACTGTATTTGAGTTAATTTGAGTTAACTTAGCTACACTAAGTGATACTGAAGACTGCGTTAACTCAAAATCACTTTGTTTACAATTAGCTACACTAAGTGATACTGAAGACTGCTGCCAACCCAAACATAAGGGTGGTACAATTGCTCCCCATACTTGACCTAAATTCAGTGCTGCATGGAGGGAGAGTTGTTTTTACTTGAGTATTAGTAATAGGTATCCTTCCTTAAAGGTGTAGTCCACAGTATTAAACTCTAGGACTTCCACACCAGTACTTCTGAATCTACATCCAACATCTTACTACTCACTGGAATTGAGGAGTGAGAAAAAAAGGAATCCCAGATAAACACTTCAAGAATCCATTATCAGAGCTAATGTAAAATAAATGACTTGCCTAAAACCAAACAAAAAAGATAATGACGAAGTGCTCAGTGGGAATTAATAGAGTGTATCTTAATTTTCTAACAACCATGCAACAAGAGTATGAAACACATGAAGCATTCTTATGTTTTTTCTTTTTCAACCCTCATGTGTGTTTTAAGACCAACTGATGCAATAACAGCTGTAAATCCTATACATGCAACTTAGGCTCATGAACAATTTACAGCCATGGATAACACAAGAAAAAGATACCAGTAATACAACTGTGCCTGTGAAAATGAGCAAGCCTTTTTACATTAATCAAAAAGGAATGCAAATAAAGAAAATACTTCACCATCTCTATCTTCATCGTGGATGTTTAGGTACAGATATTCCAGGCCTCTTCCTTTCTTGCCATGCTCTGCTCCTTGTATCTTAGTCATCAGTGTTGTTTTGCCTGAGCCATCATCACCTGCCAGTAAGTTTGTAGATGAGAAAAGACACATCAAGAAGCTAATATTTTACAGGGAAAACAAACATTCATGGTTTTGAGCTGGGAATTTAAGACACCCTTTTGCAAGTACAGTGGTGCCTCGCTTAACGAGTGCCTCGCTGAGCGATGAAATCGCTTAACGAGGCACTCTGGGCCATCGCTGGAGCATTCACTCAGCGATGGCCCCTATGGCGTTTTTTCGCTGTGCGATGATCGCTAAGCGATAAATTTAAGACAAGTACTGGAGAACTATCTAATTTATTCTGTCATTGCATCATAGAATCACAGAATAATACTGTTGGAAGGGGGCTATATAACCACTGAGTTCAATCACTTGCTCAATACAGAAATCCAAATCAAAATAGATCTGACAGATGGCTGTCCACTTTTCTCTTGAATGCCTCTAGTGCTGGAGCAATAGTGTGTGTTGTGCTGGATAGAGTGATAGACTCAGAAGGCTTGCGTCCAAGTCCTGTTCAGCCATGGAAACTCAGTAGGCATTGGTAAAACCATTGTTTCAATATATCATTTACCTTGAAAACCCCATTAGGATTGCCGGAGTCAGATGCAACATACAAACACACAAAATAAGGAGCAGACCCATTACAGATTGACGTCTCAATCATGCAGTTTTTAAAACATTAAATACTTTTATTCCATTTTTATTTTTAATATTTTGAATGGTTTTCATTAAACTAATTATCTGAACTATAAATCTTATGTTAACGCACTGGGTTTAATTTACTCTGATAGCAAAAGGAATACAAGTTCAATCAAAGGTAGGAGAGCATTCTATTAAGTCCCTCTAAATAGGCTTTAAATCATTCTATTTCTTTTATCATTCTGACCTATTTTGAACAAAATGCAGTATTCCTACAAAACTAAAAGCTTTTCACTATTATTCACTGGTACTTACCAAAAACAAGAATATTTTTGCCTGACGGTAATTTAGACCTGGACCGTGTAGAAACTTCACTCAATATTGAGAACCTGTATAAAACAAATTATTTTATTAGTTTGACAAATTAGCTTATTAGATATTATACAAATGAGGTGAAACAAAATTAATGAAATAGACATAGACAAAAACATTGAGAAGTTTTTAGGAGTATTTTTTTCAGATTTTCTTATGCCTTCTCATCTCTGCCTTGGGTATTGATACTTATTGATATAAATATCAATAACAATGTTATTTCTGGTTCCATTACAGTATGCTTCTCCTTCCAAAAACTGGGGAAAACCCAATGCTTAATGCAAACATGTTAACATGTATGTGCATATCAAAATAAAACCTTCCTCAGACAAATGGAGCTAAATTCTGTTCTTCATACAAACAACAAAAATCACAGGAAGTAATTGATATCTCAGATCAAGCAAGACAACTCCTAAAATGGTATTGACAATGAAGACCTTCCTTGCTGGACCTAGGAACTGCCAAGTTATTTCAAATTCTAGGACTAAAATCATATTTTGTCACCACGATCGTCCATTGCCTTCTGACAAATCCTCTGTTTCCAAATAAATCATCTTGTTAGTGACTCTGTATGTGGACAGGTGGTTAAACTATCTACCTATTCCATAGTCCAACACCCTTAAGAACATAAGAAGAGCCCTGCTGGATCAGGCCAAGGACCCATCTAATCCAGATTCCTGTGTTTCACAGGGGTCCCACCAGATGCCTCTGGGAGCCCACGAGACGAGATACCTGCCTCCTAACAACCTTCCCCTGTATCTGGCATTTTATGTTCTGCATCCTTAACCAGATACAGTTCTGCAAAACATAAGGCAAGCAGAATGACCAGAGGTTTAAGATTATATAGCATAAAGGCTCCATTTAGTTGCAAATTGGTAGGCTTTGTAGTTATAGGCATCAATTTGTATCAACACTCATTTAGAAATGCACGGTACAAAAATATTTTAAATCAATTATTTAACTTGCTTTTATAGTTAGTTCAACAAAACAGTTTATGCTCAGAAGAACTGCCATGTCATTGGGGCTGAACTTCAAAAAACTCAATTCCGAGGCATCAATGGGGAATATTTTAAGATAGGGTTTTCCCCTTCACAGCACTGCAATGACATTCAGCAGCAAAGCAGTTTGGGGAAACTTGACCTCTCATGCTGGTGGGGGGGGGGGGAGAGTAAGGTAACTGATACTTTCACTGCTGGCAGTCTAGCATTAAAACTGATTGTTCTGTATTACTCTGCTCAAGTGGTAAGTAGTACAGTTTTAAATCCATTAGTCTCTTTCCCCAACAGGCATTTGGCTTAACAGCTGAAATGAATCACCAGGAAGCCAAAAGAGATACACAATAACAATTCCCACCTTTACATCTTATCCATTTAGCAACTTCAGATGAACCTTCTGGTTTTACAGAATTCTTTAAAACTTTTTAAAAAAACCATCATTGCCTAATATCATTGTTTCAAAAGTTTCACTATGGTTCCCTTCTAGTAATGTGCAGTGAATTGGTCTCTCCACTAGAATGCCAGCACAGATGCTCATCAGTAATAAATGCTCAAATCCCCAACCAATTAAAATCTCATTAGCAATGTGCGTATTAACCTTTCCTTTACCCTCACTTAAATTCTACTGATAGCCTTAATTCAAATCCTAGATCGCCTTCTAGATCACAAAAATGAAGCTAGAAAAGCCATTTTAAAGGCCAGAGTTTTGTTAGTACGGCTGAAGAGATCAGTCTAGAAAGGGAACACGATCACACCCAAAAATTACTCAGGCTTCTTATAAGTAACATTTCAGTGTGGCCTTTCATACATTACAATTCACTTCATCAGACACAGAGCACAACATTAAGTATCCAGAATCCTATTACTTACACACATTCCTGTAAATCTCAGCTGCTAACTGCCACAAATTAGCCTGATGGACTTACACTGACATAGTTTTCCAAATGGATTCCAGTCATCACATTTTAAATACACTAAGACAGAATGAAGACACAGATGGGGAAAAAAACAAGAACATGTCCTAAATCTCTGTTCATCCAAACAATAATACTGTACTGTGAACATTTCAGCTCAGTTAAAGCTGCAGAGGTGAGATTAGGTTTGGGCTGCATTCACACGGACAACACTGGGTTCTGCACCCATCTATGTTGTTATAAGTATGACACCACGATTTTGCCTCCTCGCTTCCACAGGGACAACACTGGGTCCTGCACCCATCTATGTTATACAGTGTGTATGACACCACGATTTTGCCTCCTTGCTTTTTCTAACAACTCTGAATGCCAATGATGGTCGCGATTAGGGGGCTTCTCGCTAGGATGAGAGACTTCTCCGGACGCAGCCGGTCCTGCTCCTGGGCCTCCAACGGGGGGGGGGGGGGGGTGCCGCGGCCTCCACAACAACCTNNNNAAAAGGCAGGGAGAAAGTAACGGGGAGAGACCGGGCGGCTTCCTTCCGGGAAAGGCTCTTCCCGACCATGCCTGCCTCTCAGTGGCAGCCCAACTTCACCTGCATCGCCGTCCTCGCCCAAAGGAGCCCCTGAGGGAGGGAAGGCGGGCGGGCAGGCGGATGGGGGCCCCGATCCTTCTCTCAATCTCCCCCCCTCCCCGCCCCCTTGATGGCGCTTCAGCTGCAAAAGGCGGCCCCTCCCGGGCCCGGAGACAGCCAAGCCGGCTCTCCCTCCCTCTCAAAGAGGAGGTCTGTGGAGAAGGTCTAGCAAAGGCGCTGGGGAGAGCAGGCAAGCGAAGGCTCCTCTCCTCCTCACACACACACACACCCTTCCCGGACAAAGGCTACTCCCTGCAAGTTTTGGCCCGCCGGACCCTCTTTCCCGGGGGCCAAACTCCCACTTCCACGATGATCAGGCAGAAAAACGAGAGGCCTCCGCCCGGCCCTGCCCAGCGCAGCCTCGTACGGCTCCTCACCAGAGGCTCTGGCCTTCCTCCTCCTCGCTGGGCAAGTCGGCAGCCACAGGCCCGTCCGGCCCCAGCAGCTTCTTCTCCGCCAGCACCGGCGCCATCTTGCCAACAGCATCCACCACAAAGAGTGACCTCATCCGCCCAGGCCCTGTCAGGAGGACCCCGCCTTTCCCGCACGGTCAAACCCCCGGGCTTCTCTCGGCCTCGCCGATGCCTGCTCGCCGGCTCTCTCCGCCGGCTCTTTCTCCGCGCCGGGCTCCCACTGACACATGGGTTCCCTTCAGTGGCACTTCGGCCACGCGCGAAGCGGAGCCTTCAAGGCGGCATTCCGGCCGGGCGACGGAAAGAGCGGCTCCTTCTAGTCAGGCGGCGCTTGGGCACCTAACAAGCGCGGCTCCCCAATCGCGACGGTGAGTTCAGGGTTTTAGAGGCCGCCGCCCAAGGGTTTGTTCGAAACAGAGCCCCCTCGTGGCCGCGAGGAGCGCTGCGGGGGCCGTCGGCGACGCCCAGGAAGGAGCGCGGGAGGAAGGCGAGCGGAGGTTGAGCCTCGCTTCTTCCCGCGTAGCTGAGAGATAAAAAGTGAGGGGTGTCATCTTGTTCAAAGCCCCGGACGGCCGCGTCGTTTTGTGATAACCCGAAGCGGAATTCGTATTATTTTTGTCAACTACACAAGCAAAGTTGGCACGCTTTATAATTACCGTATTTTCCCATCTAGTACAATGGTTCGGAGCTCAGGACAGAGCTTGGAATTTTAGGTTTGAATTGAAAGTGAATTCATTGTCATCAGAAGATGTCAATACTAAGATAAGCATATAACGAACATTTCTAATTCATTATTTAAGTTGTCCGTGCTGAAACGGAATTTACAGGATCCCTTCATCATTGACAATGGACGTATTTGCTGCTTTGTCATGTTCCAAAGTGACACTTCCCCACCTAAACAGACTGCAGTGCATGTTAACTAGGCATGATCGTATCTCGTACATCTGAAAAGGCAAGGTTCATCTGCCCATTCCTAGAGAAAAAGGCACAAACCACACACTTTCTAATGATTGGTCCATGGAATTAAAAGCAAACAGCTCTCCAACTGTTTTTCTATAGATTTTTATAGAAGTGTGGGAATTTGGACCTTTGGATTATATCTCTCAGAATCCCCAGGCAACAAAGACAAAAGTTGTGATGTCAAGGATATTGTGTTAACTTCAGTCAAAGAACAGTAATCTGTATACTGTACCTCTAGATTTTTTTTAACACACTGCTGTAAAAACTTTAAAGAAGGATAAACAGTGACAGACAGCTTAATTCCCTTGCCCTGCATGGCTATTTCAGGTCCTAACTCATATACACACCACCTCCACTAGACTATCACATAACTAAAAACTACTGCCTTTCACTGTCCCATGGATAATTTAGTTTCAGAAATATTGCTAAGGGATTTGAACAACACCTTCAGTATTTAAAATAATTTGAAGCAAAACCGTCCTCTGACTCAAAGTAAGAAAGGAAGCTGGGGTGACTTGCATGGCTCACCCAACTTTCTTTGTACAATAACTTTGACAGTGAATGGCAATGTTTATGGGGAGGAGGCATGCAATATCTTTTTCCACTTTGAGTCAGAGTTAATTGGTTTTGTATGGAGAACAGTTTCCAAAGCTGGGTTGAAGAAAGCTTGGTGACTGCCTATGTGGCTAACCTTCTAGGAGTTGTAATCCAATACACACTATATTTTAGTGTGGAAATTATTGTTTACTAGAGCTTCAGAAGTGTGAAGGTGCTTCCATTTCATGGGGGGGGATGCAAATCCATATGCCCGTTCAAAGGACATAGTGATTTTATGATGAAAGAGAAAAAAATGCAAATACAGTGGTATTTTAAAGATTAACAGATTTATTTCATTTTATGGATCAAAATCCACTTCTTCAGACACAAGGAATGAAAATGCTATGTCGCCTGTATTTATACATATTCCTATGATAGTAGTAAAGACCGGTGAGGATGAAGGACGTTAAAAGAATAAGCTTTATTGAACCCTAGTTATTATTATTATTTTGCATTGAATAATACAGTTGGAAGGGGCCTATAAGGCCATCAAGTCCACCACCCTGCTCAATGCAGCAATCCAAGTTCAAGTATATCTAACAGATGGCTATCTAACTTCTCTTGAATGCCTCCAGACTCAGAACTCATGGAGTTAAAACAGACACTTCTTAAACTACAGTGCCCACTCAACAAACTGACAAAGCCAGACTGGTTGCTAGGAACAATCTAATGAAGAAACAACAATGACCAAAGCAATATTGGCTTCTGGAATAGATGTTTGTGTCTATGGTCTTGGATTCTGCTCATTTAGATGACACATGTACAGATCCCTTAATGATCTTGTGAGCTAGTCTTGACAAGAAAGTAAATAAAGGCAAGGCTACTGGAAAGCTATTCCTAATGCTAAGCACAGACAACACAGGGATATTTTCCTGTCTACAGAAGGGGACATTCAGGCTTTTGGCTAAATATATGAGCATGTCAGAATGAGCAGTCTTCAGATGGAGATGGAGGCTCATCAGGTGACACAAAGCTGACCAGTGCTGTGCAACAGAGCACTCTAACTGAATAATTTCTTCAGAATTGTTTTCAGAGCTGACACCTGCTGATGGAGACTTATGGCTATAAGGGAAGTATATAGACAACTCTGCAGCAGCTGCAGCAGCCAGGGCCGGGTTTAAAACTCGAGGGAGGGGGCCTTCATACACAGCAATTAAAATACATGGCAAATCACCAGATTTACACATCAAAGTCTGTTTATTGCACATCACTGGTATTTATACATACATAGGTAAAGGTAAAGGTTCCCCTTGATATTCAGTCCAGTCGTGTCCAACTCTAGGGGGCAGTGAGCTCATCGCCATTTCCAAGCCGCAGAGCCAGCGTTTGTCCCTAGACAGTTTCCGTGGTCACATGGCCAGCACGACTAGACACGGAATGTCATTACCTTCCCACAGTGGTGTTACCTATTTATCTAATCGCATTTACATGAGTACAGTAGCAGGTTCCTACTACTTACATGCTTTCGTACTGCTAGGTTGGCAGGAGCTGAGACAAGCGACAGGAGCTCACTCCATTACATGGATTTGATCTTACGACTGCTGGTCTTCCAACCTTTCAGCATGCCAGTAAAACTCCAAGTAGATTTTTAGGTAAGCCAAATTACAAAGGACATAGCTAAGGTGCTATGTGCTCTTTAGATAACAATGATAACAATGCCGAATGAACTGCATCTAAGAATAATGAAGGAACTGTCTGAAAAGATCGTAGAACCACTGTGTATTGGGTGAAGTGTATTGGGTGAAGTGTCAGACAACTGAAGGAGGGCTAAAGTTATCCTTATCTTCAAAAGGGCAAAGAGGAGAAACCTGGGAACCACAGGCCAGTCAGCATGACATCAATCCAGGAAAAAATCTGGAGCAGATTACAAAGCAGTGACTCTGCAAGGACCTTGGGAACAATGCAGTAATAACTAGAAGGCAAGATGGACTTGTCAAGAACAAATCCTGCCAGAACGATCTCATCTCATTCTTTGATCAGGTAATCTCCTTGTTGTTGCTGTTTAGTCGTTAAGTCGTGTCCGACTCTTCGTGACCCCATGGACCAGAGCACACCAGGCCCTCCTGTCTTTCACTGCCTCCCGGAGTTTGGCCAAATTCATGTTGGTAGCTTCAGTGACACTGTCCAACCATCTCATCATCTGTCGTCCCCTTCTCCTTTTGCTTTCATACTTTCCCAACATCAGCATCTGTTCCAGGGAGGTTCCTGTTCTCACGAGATGGCCAAAGTATTGGAGCCTCAGCTTCAGGATCTGGCCTTCCAGTGAGCACCCAGGGTTGATTTCCTTCAGAATGGAGAGGTTTGTTCTCCTTGCAGTCCAGGAGACTCTCAAGAATCTCCTCCAGCACCACAATTCAAAAGCATCAATTCTTCGGCGGTCTGCCTTCCTTATGGTCCAGCTCTCACTTCCATACATTGCTACTGGAAAAACTATATCTTTGACTATGCAGACCTTTGTCGGCAAGGTGATGTCTCTGCTCTTAAGATGTTGTCTAGGTTTGTCATAGCTTTCCTCCCAAGAAGCAGGCATCTTTTAATTTTGTGGCTGCTGTCATCATCTGCAGTGATCATGGAGCCCAAGAAAGTAAAATCTGTCACTCCCTCCATCTCTTCCCCTTCTATTTGCCAGGAGGTGATAGGACCAGTGACCATGATCTTAGTTTTTTTGATGTTGAGCTTCAGACCATTTTTTGCACTCTCCACTTTCACCCTCATTAAGAGATTCTTTAATTCCTCCTCACTTTCTGCCATGAAAGTGGTATCATCTGAGGTTATTGATATTTCTTCCAGCTATCTTAATTCCGGCTTGGGATTCATCCAGTCCTGCCTTTCTCATGATGTATTCTGCTTATAAGTTAAATAAGCAGGGAGACAATATACAGCCTTGTCGTACTCCTTTCCCAATTTTGAACCAAGTTCTAACAGTTGCTTCCTGTCCCACATATAGATTTCTCAGGAGACAGATAAGGTGGTCAGGCACTCCCATTTCTTTAAGAACTTTTCATAGTTTGCTCTGATCCACACAGTCAAAGGCTTTTGCATACTCAACGAAGCAGAAGTAGATGCTTTTCTGGAACTATCTGGCTTTCTCCATAATCCAGCGCATGCTAGCAATTTGGTCTCTAGTTCCTCTGCCCCTTCGAAATCCAGCTTGTACTTCTGGGAGTTCTCGGTCCACATACTGCTGAAGCCTACCTTGTAGAATTTTGAGCATAACCTTGCTAGCATGTGAAATGAGTGCAAATGTACAGTAGTTGGAGCATTCTTTGACACTGCCCTTCTTTCATTTTTTAAAAAAATATACTTTATTTTCCAAAATAAGACTTAAAAACATATAAATACAACATCATGTATCTTTAAGATGTAAACATAAATTATAAGCTTAACCTAAAAGCAATCTTATTTAATAGTATAATTTTTCTGGTGAGATCCTATCCATACTATTCATTTTAATTTCTTTACTATGGGACTTTGGCTTTCCACCAGTCATAAAATAAATTCCAGCTTAGGTAAAAAGTTGATATTTTCCATTCCTCTGGCCAGTGCTGAGTTTTCCATACTTGCTGTCATATTAAGTGTAGCACCTTAACAGTGTCATCTTATAAGATTTTAAATAGTTCAACTGGAATACCATCATCTCCACTGGCCTTGTTGTTAGCTATGATTTCTAAGGCCCACTTGACTTCAGTCTCCAGGATGTCTGTCTCAAAGTCAGCAACCACACTATCTGGGTTGCCCGGGACAGTCAAATCTTTCTGATATACCATAATTCCTCTGTGTATTCTTCCCACCGCTTCTTGCTGTCTTCTGCTTCTGTGAGGTCCCTACCATTTTTGTCCTTTATCACGTCCATCTTTGCACAAAATATTCCTCTAATATCTCCAATTTTCTTGAACAGATCTCTGATTTTTCCCTTTGTATTCTTTTCCACTATATCTTTGCACTGTTGATTTAAGAAGGCCCTCTTGCTATTCTTTGGAAATCCTTGCTATTCTTTGGAAGTTTGCATTCAGTTTTCTGTAACTTTCAAATTGAATTCACCCATTCCCATTCATTTTAGTTCACTCACGCCCACAATGTTTATTCTTGCTATCTCCTGTCTGACCACATCCAGCTTACCAAGGTTCATAGATCTTACATTCCAGATTCCTATGCAGTATTTTTCTTTGCAGTATTGGACTTTCCTTTCACTTCCAGGCGTGTCTGCAGCTGAGCGTCCTTTTGGCTTTGGCCCAACCACTTCATTAGCTCTGGAGCTACTTGTGCTTGTCCTCCGCTCTTCCTCAGTAGCATGCTGGACGCCTGCCGACCTGAGGGCCTCATCTTCCAGCGTCATATCTTTTAGCCTTTTGTTTCTGTCCATTGAGTTTTCTTGGCAAAGATACTGGAGTGGCTTGCCAGTTCCTGCACCAGGTGGATCACGTTTAGTCCGAACTCTCCACTATGATCTGTCCGTTTTGGGTGTCCCTGCACAGCATAGCCCATAGCTTCTCTGAATTACTCAAGCCCCGTCGCCACGACAAGGCAGCAATCCATGAAGGGATTAGTTATTCGCTATGTCCCGGACAAGTTTCAAACTTCTGCCTATGTATGAAGCCCTACAGGGACGTGGTGGTGCTGCGGGCTAAACCGCAGAAGCCTGTGCTGCAGGGTCAGAAGACCAAGCAGTCGTAAGATCGAATCCACGCGACGGAGTGAGCTCCCGTTGCTTGTCCCAGCTCCCGCCAACCTAGCGGTTCGAAAGCATGTATTCGCTATGTCCCGGACAAGTTTCAAACTTCTGCCTATGTATGAAGCCCTACAGGGACGTGGTGGTGCTGCGGGCTAAACCGCAGAAGCCTGTGCTGCAGGGTCAGAAGACCAAGCAGTCGTAAGATCGAATCCACGCGACGGAGTGAGCTCCCGTTGCTTGTCCCAGCTCCCGCCAACCTAGCGGTTCGAAAGCATGCAAATGCAAGTAGATAAATAGGGACCACTTTGGTGGGATGGTAACAGCGTTCCGTGTCTAAGTCGCACTGGCCATGTGACCACGGAAGATTGTCTTCGGACAAACGCTGGCTCTATGGCTTGGAAATGGGGATGAGCACCGCCCCCTAGAGTCGAACACGACTGGACAAAAATTGTCAAGGGGAACCTTTACCTTTTATGTTTGAGAAGAAAAGCAGGGCAAAAAAAAAATTTGGCTCTGGTGTGCAGTAGTAGAATACCCAGTGTATTGCAGTGGATAGAGTAATGATTCAGGAGGCCTGGGTTTGAATCTCTGTTCAGCCATGGAAACTCATTGGAATGCAGAACTGGTAAAACCACTCCTTAAATTTCTCACTTACCTTGAAGTCTTATTAGGGTCACTAAATCAGTTCCGACTTGAAGGCACATAATAATGCAGTAATAGAACAGGATTATAAACTATAGTTCAACCTTAGATATTTTAATAACATATTTACTATTCAAGAAGATGATAAAGTGAAATGCTCAAATAAAAAACAGGAATACAAACAACAGCATTTTAAAAAATAGTAAGTTTTAGTAGTATTGTAACAATATGTTTGCATTAATTTTTCATATTTTTATGAATAGGTATTTTTAAAACAAGTGCTATATTAGAAAATAGAACACACACTCTTATTTTTTTAGGAGAACTATAGACAGAATCATAGTATCCTTTATCTATCAGCATGCATAATAACATTGGGAAAATGAAATTCTAAATTAAATGCTATTCACTGAAAGAACATACAGCAATCCAAATCCCAAAATAAAAATGAAACGTTATACATAAAACAAATATAAATTCTACATTTTAAAACAAAATTGGTCCTGTTTATGATAAACCTGTTCTTTTCATGTCAAATAATTTTGTTTTCATTCTTCTGTAAGAGAGAAAAAGCAAAGACTAATCAAATTCCAATGCATTAACTAATATGCAGAACTAATATGACATATCATATTAAGATGTACTTTCTGCAATTATCTAGGGTTACAAAAACCCAATTGTCTGTAAACAATCCCCCTCACCGAGGTTTTACAGGTTTGTTTGGGTAGTAACTACAAAAATTATGTTTCTTTAATTAGCTATAAGTTAATTTATTTTAGAATGTTGAGTTTGTCATTATTGTGCTGGTATTTACACTGGACAACCAGTTGCCTCAGGTGGTGAAATGCTGGGGCAGCAAATGCGCCTTTTCTCCTATTGCCACCACCCAGATGAGAGGAAAAACAGGAAGCACTATTGCATTACCATCAACCCACAAATAAAGAGAGTGGAAGTGAAGAATAAGACTGCCACTGTCACCACTCATCTTTCCTTCAAAATAAATTAGCTTCTCCTGTTCCTTCTCTGTTTGTTTGTTATTTGGGTTAGGGGGTAGTACAGAACTCCTTTCCCTTCTCATATCCAGGTCTCTTCCACCCAATGAAGACAGAGAGAAGGAATAGCAAAAAGTGTCTTATTTTAAAGAAAAAATGAAGTGTCAGCAACAGCAGATGTGAGTGATGCCAGGCAATAGCAAGCAAGGCACCTCAGGCATTATCTCTTGAAAGAAAAGATGGTGACTCAAGCAACCACATGTTGTAGATCTCCTGCCAAATGTCAGCTCTGTACAGAGCTGATGATATTTCAGTGCTGGGTTCATGATCATCTCCTCTTGTGCATCTCCCAGAGACCAAGGCTGAGTCATTCTCCTGCTTCAAACTTTTAACTTTTAATAATGGTGACCGAATGGGGTCTTTTGCAACAGTTTTGGTTACCAACTGCCCTCCCGTCTCCAACGGGGAGAAGAAACGGTTCTATGAGCTATCCTCTCAGTGATCCCTATACATAGGTTATCATACACACAGATTGCCCCTTCTTTCCACTCTTGTTCTTGCGGGAGCTCTGGTGACAACCACACTTGTCGCAGTGGATTGGACCCTTATCGCCACCTTAGCCCGTGTTTCTCAGTCATCTTCCAGCCCTGCGAGAACCTCTGCGGTTTCTGCCCAATCAAATGAGGGGGGTTTCCAATGAGTCCCTTGTATTTTTCCCCTTTTCCCTTGTTGGGTTTGCTGTTGTTTTCACCCCCTTCTCTCCTTCCTTTCCCTCTCCTCCCCGTAAGAAGTTTTTTAAGGAGGATAAGTGTTTCTCCTTCTTTCTGCTTCTTCCCCAGGCACTTTCTGTCTCTCCATTCCTCTGTCCAGGGGTTCTGTAGTAGAATTCACTCCCGCCCTTCAGGGAGAAGTTCTTCTGACTTTTTCCCCCCCTCTCTGACCCTCCTGCTACTTCTGCCTCCTCCTTCTCTGTCTCCCTTTTATACCACTCTATATAGACCTGGCTTTTGGTGGGAAGCAAATGGCTGCTTAAGATTGACATCAGACGCAGAAATATCTCACATGTTGCATTTGGGATTGCTTGTGGCTTGGTCCAGTGCAAGCTGTTTCCCAGCCACCACATGACATGTGGGCAATAGCATTCCACTCTGACCTTGATCAGGTCCAAGCTGGACCTTTTTGGTCCAGCAGGAGGGCTGCTCTTTTTGTGGGTTTGGCTAGTGATTCCTCAGTGGATGGAAAGGTCACTTTAAGCAAAATAACTTCTGTCAAAGTGAACTTTTCCAGAACCAGACATGATCCCTTCTTGCCATCTGATTGCACTCTAAGCCCAGTGTTTTCTACTGCCAGTTGCATTGCATCCTATAACTGTAGGAAGTGTCTCCTTTCACCGATGAGGGACAAGCATAGGCACAGTCCTGCCTCCAAAACAAGTAGATTACCTCCATCCCCTAAAGAGTGGGAAATATTTACATTAGGTCCGGTATTTCTTTCCCTCCTTCTCAACCCACTACAAATATACAGAAAGGTACAGTGAAATAAATCAGAAACAACAGTACCTTTAATTTGAAGTATTTTTTAGCTAAATCAACGTTTGTCCGCCCCTTCTGAAATGGATAGGCCCATAAAATGGAATTCCAATGATGTCCCATTTTCTTTATGCCATCCAAAAGATAATTTATTTCTTCTGCTGTAAAATCTTTCCTAGTTCTTCGTTGTTGTTTTTTAAAAACTATTGCAGGTACTTCTGACACACAACTTTCACTATTCTAGAAAATTAATGGAAAACATATAAGCTTCTGAGGAATTGTTTTAGCTGAGCGGTAAAGGACATGCTTTGTGTGTTTAAGATCCCATGTTCAACTACATTACCTTGAGACAGTCACCCTCATGAAGCTTGACCAGAATTATGTAAATAAAGTAGAAAAAAAAGGAGAGTATGTGGCTTGAGCTAATTAAAGGAAAGGGAAAGGGAAAGAGAGGGAAAAGAAGGCAGGCAGGCAGGCAGATATAGCCATTGGTATTAGATGATACTGGACTAAATGGGCCTGTGCTCTGACTCAGTAACAGCCTGTTGAGCTTCATAATGTTCATAGAAAAAAAAAGCTTGTAAAGGAGCCCCTATAGGGTATATTTTATCCTCTTGTCTGTTCAGTCTATAAGCAGAAAATGTGGGATGGGTAGAACTGTCAGGTGGATACACAGTTGGTTACAGAATCACACTCAGAGGGTGAAGATTAATGGCTCCTTTTCCTTTCCTTTGAGCTACAGTAGACATCAGCCTGTCTTTCAACAGTTACCAGCAGAACAGCAGGTAGGTAACCAGTCAAGCATTTTGCCTACCCAGAGACAGGAAGGAGTTAACGTAACTACAACTTCTTCCCAAGCCAGTGGAATGCATGCAGCTGTAAATCAGCTTGTGCCAAGGATAATGGGTTTACAGGTGGCCCAGATTTAGACAACACTGACTCAGCAAACCCCAACAGGGGGGAAATTTACTGTTATGGACCCATGTTGCATACTACCTGAGGAGCAATTTTCCTGGTCTTTACAAAATTTTTCTGAGGCTGTGACTTTACATTTTCACGCGATACAGCAGCTGACATTTCTTCTATTAATAGACATTTTTTTGGATCCAGAACTGATTTTGAATGAGATGTCCTGTGAGAACCTATGGTTCTGGTGAAGTAATCGAGAGATATGTCCCCCTCGCTTTCCTACAAATCAGTTACAAGAATTGGAAAGGTTCCAAGTATCTGCTAGTCCATGAGGGCAAACCTGACTTTTTGTTGGGAAATTACTTGGCATTTTTGAACTATCAGCAGACTTTAAAATCTGCTTCAGTGCAAGCAGTCACCCGTTCTCAAAGCAAAGTGATGCAGCAAGTTCCACCTGATGATGTCTCCGAGGAGCACCCAGATGGAAACTTAATGCAACAGCAGCCTCTTGTGAGCGAACCTGATAGTGCAGCCAATACAAAGAATGAACCAGAGGACTTACCTATTCCAATGGGTTCAGCTGATTTTAGATTGAAACAGCTGAATGATCCTACCTTCGCCTCTTTAAGGTCACAGGCAGATAGTTATGCAGTGCAACCTATGCAACAAGTGAACTTCTTGTGGGGACAAAATGGACTTTTGTACAGAGAGTATTTTCCTAAATCCAATGCACAGGCCGAACCAGTTCAACAGTTAGTGATTCCTAGTGAGTACAGAGAGAAAATTCTGCAGATTGCCCATGACAGTCCAAGCAGTGGCCATCTTGGAATACAAAAGACTTTGAGCAGAATTTCTCAGCATTTTTATTGGCCTGGTGTTACAAAAACTGTCAAGGACTATGTTGGTTCCTGTGATTACTATCAGCGGACAGGGAGTCAAACAGACAGCACGAAGGTGGAAATGCAGCTCATGGAAATCCCAGACCAGGTGTTCCAGTATTTGCAAATGGATGTGTTAGGACCTTTTGTTCCTACCAAGTCTAAAAAGAAATACATCATCTCATTCATCTGTCAAGCTAGGAGATGGATTGAGGCCTATGCGATCAGCAACCTTTCAGCGCAAAATATTGCCCGTATTTTGGTGGACTTGTGTTCTCGCATAGGTATACCTTCTCAAATTACCTGTGATCAAGATGTTGCTTTTACCAGCGCCCTTGTGAACAAAATTTGTGAGACTAGTGGAATACAACTTTCCTTCAGCACGACCAAAAATTCCCAATCATGTGGACTAAAGGACAGTGGTCAACAAACTTTGCTTAGGATGATTAAAACTTTAGTTCAAGAATATGGAAACATTTGGGATGAACTTTTGCCTTTTGCCTTAATCGCTTATAGAAGCGCACCACACAGTTCTCTTGGACATTTTTCTCCAAGTGAGGTGGTCTTTGGGAGAAATCTACAAGGACCTTTGGATTTCTTGAAATCTGACTGGGAAGGTGTGGTCAAAAGCAGTACTGTTCCAGTTGCTGATTTTGTTAGAAAACTCCAAGAGAAACTCTTAGCTGTCCAAGAGTTGGCTAGAGACAATTTGTTGGATGCTCAAGCAAGTCAGAAGTTCTTCCACGACAAGAGATCCAGACACAGGGAATTTTCTGTGGGTGATTTGGTACTTGTTCTGAACCCACTCAGACCTTCTAAGCTAGAAGTTGTCTGGGAAGGTCCAGGGGAAATTGTTCAAAAATTGGGAAATGTCAATTACCTTGTCAAAATGTTGAATTCTACTAAGAAACCTGTAATGTATCATGTTAATAGTTTGAAATTGTATAGAGACAGATCTGCAATGGTTTTTCAATGTCATGTTGCATGTTTTCAACCTGAAAATGAACCTGTTGATATGTTAACTGAATATGCTATCCATATTGAAGAAGAGGTTTTTCCAGACAAATCTGATCATACCGATTTGGTGGGAGTGGTTGAGCAGAATGTCACTGATCGTTGAAATACTGTCAAAGTACATTGTTACTCTGAATTACTGTTTATGATACTAACTAACTTGTTTTCTTTTCTGTATTTTCAATAGAGTGTGTGCTTAACCATAAGAATGTATTCATTTGCTGATATTAGTATGTTTCTACCTTGATGCTTTGCTAGACAAGTGCAATTATACATGTATTCATGTTAATCATTAACAGTTACCTTTCATAACCAATAGTTTAAGTAGTTATCAAAATAAGAACGCTAATCGTTCTGGATTTTGTTAGTCTTAGTGGGGGCGTGTGATGAATTTGGTTATGAAAGCTAGAAAGTGATTTACTGATGGAACATGTAGTTACATAGTTAGCCTGAAAGAATCCATTTTGGTTTCTGTGTGTCTGAGAGTGGAAAATTCCAAGAGACAGTTCTCTTGCAACTTTGCACCGCTGTACCGGGCAGTGTGACCCTTATCTCGTTACTTAGCAACTGTCCTGGTACAGAGGGAGCAAAGACACAACATTTTCCTTAAGATTCATGGGAAGAAGAAAGGAGGAGAGAATTCCAGCACGAGGAGGGAGAAGATGGAGGACAGCAGAAAAGACACAGGATGGACTTTACTTTTAAATGGACATTAAAACAGGACTTTTCCTATTGAGCTGATGGATTTTTGGATTTTCCAGAAGTTTGGTATGTTGTTGTTTTCATTATGGACAATGGGATTTACAGTTTTGTTTTAAGATGTAGATTTTGCTGAAGTTGGAGGGAAGGGCCGCCTTCCCCTAATTTTATTAGTGAGTAGTTTGTTATTTTCGTTTCTTATAGAGAAACTTTGATGGCGCTGTGGGCTAAACCGCAGAAGCCTGTGCTGCAGGGTCAGAAGACCAGCAGTTGTAAGTTCGAATCCACGCGATGGAATGAGCACCCGTCGCCTGTCCCAGCTCCCGCCAACCTAGCGGTTCGAAAGCATGCAAATGCGAATAGATAAATAGGGACCACCTCGGTGGGAAGGTAAACAGCGTTCCGTGTCTAAATCACACTTGTAAGCAGCCCCTTATCTCCAAGAAGATTTATGGGGGTGCCGGAAATTGGGATGAGTACGAAATCCAGACAAACCTCTAACTGCTGAGCAGAGCCACTTAGATCTCAGCCAGGTCTTGTCTAAATTTCTTCCTCAGAAAGCCAATCTCCTTATTAAGAAAGCAACACACACAGACACATCCTTGAGTTATACTCAGAATAATCTGGCTCTGAAAACTTTGGTAGCAAACACACGTGGCCAATTAGACATACAGCCAGTCTGTGCAAGAACTAACACCTGCAGATTTAATCATTACTGCTTTATTGAAAAGAATTGCTTTAGAAAAGATTTCAGTTGATAGTAAAATAGTATAGTAGGTACATTTTCATTCAATACCAACGGAACACTCCACTCCCCCCACTCCAGCTAAAAAAATAAAGAAATAGAATTATGCTAACTAACAAAAAGCATAAATAATCCATCTCACGTGTCTTGGGTCTTCAAAGGTTGATGCTAGATGAAAACCAGTCCATTATGGGAAAAGCACGTGTCTGCCCCTTTCTCAGGCAAACTCCATCTTTTTCCAACTCCTCACTAACTTCCTTCTTCTTCCCAGAAGGCTTCATAAGGAACACCCCCTCCGGGGTCTTGTTGTTCCGCCTAACTTTCTCATGGAGCTTCAGTTGTTATCATTCTTTGTGGCAGAATTATTTTGACTACGAAAGTCTCTGCTCTCTGCTCATCTTAGCAACGAGATAACCAGAGAGCGAAGCTTCTCTGAAACAGCATGTAAAACTTTCCTACTACAGAGCAGACTTTAAATCAAAATGGATGCTATTGGGACAATCTTAGGACTACATATCCCATTCTAATACACATAAAAACACAAATCATCACAACACTGGCCATGTGACCACGGAAAGATTGTCTTCAGACAAACGCTGGCTCTATGGCTTGAAGAGCGGGATGAGCGCCGCCCCCTAGAGTCGGACACGACTGGACAAAAAAATTGTCAAGGGGAACCTTTACCTTATAGAGGAATCTAGTTACTTGTCATTTGGATGGGGTTGGAAATATGTAAATATGCCTTGCTTCACTAAACTTTATTCTTTCAGAACATTATTTTTCTAATAAAACAAAATATGCTTAATATCTGGAAGTTGGCTTCTTGAATGGAACATATGCTGCAATAATTAATTGGTTTAGCTAAATTGATGTACTTCATAAGGCCACGTATACATAACGCTACCATTTGGGTCCAACATATTCCTGAGTGCTAGGAGAATTAGATTCCCTAGAACTCACGTGTGTGTCTTGGTTCTTAATGAAATCGGGTCAGACTTGATGCAAGAGTGATTTAGCTGCCCTAAGGTAAAATTATTGGACCCAGTTTTGCCTGGTAAAGGAGCTAATCATTCTGAATCCTCTCTGTCCCATGGCTGAGCAGTTTCTCAGGAAACTGGCTTTGCTCACACTGAAGAGGGACACCTCAGAGAAATGTCGTGGAGGTTGCAGCAGCCCTGGCAGAGTGAGCTTTGACAGAAGATGGAAGAGGCTTCTGCACCAACTCATAGGCCAGACGTATGGCTTGTACGGTGGTCTTTCAACTGGAAGTTCCAGAGTAGTAGCAATGCGGTGTATCATCTGAGAATAGGTAGGAAAGTCCGCAGCAGGAGAGACTGCATTTCTGTCAATGCTTCCAGAATCAGGCGTGATGTCATTAGGAGCGGAAGCATCAGAAAAGCTGTTTTCTGAATCAGAGTCAGCAGGGACATCCGAATGATCAGATGAGAATGGTTCCGGGAGAGGGTGCCATGGTGGAGAAGGTCTAGGCGCTGCTCTTTTGGGTGCACATCTCAGAAGAGGATCGGTACTGTGACCGGCTGCATGTGCGGTATTGGGACGACCCCCGAGATCGGTACCGCTGATGTCTTCGGTATCGGACTCTTTTTAGGCTTTGGTACTGAAGACGCTTCACCGTGTGCGCGTTAACATTTGGATGCCACGGTACCGACGTGGACCTGATGGTGCGGATTTTCCCGCGGATGGTACGAGCCCTCCAGGGCGTACCGGGGCCTCCAGTGGCTTGCTGTGCTTCAGCTTCTTCGGTACCGGGGCCGCCCTCGGTACTGAGCGATGTCGCTTCCTCCCGGAATCGGGAGGGGAAGGTGCCAACGATGACGAGCTCTCCTGGGACGAATCTGAGGAAGAGGAGGCGGAATCGGAGGAAGACTCCTTCGTAGCAAGGCTGTATAGGAGGCGCAGGTCATACAGCTTCTGCATTTGCTGCCGCCACCGTTTAAGATAATTCTTAGAGAGTTTGAGCGGTGGCAAGTCCTCCTTAGGCGCATGCTTGCTAGCTTTTGGGGGGCGAGAATGTTGAGCCCCGGAGGGGAGACCTTCGGTCCCGAGTGTCTCAAAGACCGGGAATCTCCGATAGATGGCACCAGATGTTTGTTTTCGCCTTCTTCATTCTAGGAGACGATGGCTGAAGAGGTAATTCCGGTGTTGGTGGAAGCGGAGCCAGAGATGCAGGAGAGGTGGGTGGTGAAGATCCATGAGAAGGGATCTCTATGGGTGACTGTGGGGTAAGCACAGGCAAAGGTGGAGAAGCCTGACGAGGTGTAGGGAGACTAGGAGTAGTCTGAGGAGACCTAGACGGCTCAGGAATAGGTGATTAGGCAGTCATTCTCGGTTTAGAAGATTTAGCAGAAGACTTAGAAGACTTTACCCTGGTCTTGGAGGCTTTGTCTTTATCTTTGGATTTCAAATCAGGCATAGGCTCAGGGGCCGCAGATGAGGCAGCCGTCTCCATGCCCAGTGGCCGAAGAAATTTCTCCCAGAGAGCCACACGTAGACACTGCTCTCTGAGTCTCAATCCCTGTTTAGTAAAGTTTTCACAGTGGCGACAGGACTGAGGGACGTGGGACTCCCCAAGACAAAACAAGCAATAGCAATGACCGTCCGTGGAAGAGATCTTTTTCCCACAGGCAGTCCAGCTTTTCAAAGTGACCTTGGGAGATTTAGAAGCCCTGGAGGCCATGCAAAAAAAGACGGGAAACAGTCCAAGGGAAAGGGAGGGAGGGAAGGGAAGGGGAAAACCCCCAGAAAAACCGGCGAAAAACACCTCCCCTCCTCTAAGAAATAAAGTCTTTGTACTTTCCTATATTTTTCAGACAATAAGGATCCGAGAAAGGAGAATTTCCACAAGATTCATGGAGCTCTAGCTAGGATACCTAACTGCAGCAGCGGAAAAAATGGAACTGAGGTAACTGTTAGGGTGGGTGGACCATGAGGTCCTGAGGGGAGGAGCCAAAAATGTTACTTTAAGCTCTAGAATATTCTGAGGCCTCTGCGCAAGTGCAGATTAACCCATTAGTGTGATTTCACAGAGGCCACAAAGAAGAATGAGGGTGACTTCAACACTGAGATTGATGTTGATGCCGAAGAAGTTGCGTGTTGGAACACTTACGTGGTCGAAGCCATCAAACCAAGGAGGTGCTGCATATGGTGAGCTGAAACAGGTGAATGGCTCACCTCAACCTGAGAATTCTTTCAGGAGGAAGGAAGACTTTGGCCCTGATAGAGTAGAGGTGCACCCCGATATAGTCCATGGTTTCAGAAGGCTCGAGATGAGATTTCTCGAGGTTGACCCTTAGACATAGATCTGCCTGAGTTTGAAGGGTGAAGACGGCATCCCTCCAGTCTTCGTGATAGGAACTCGCCGCGATCAATCAATTGTCTATGTATGGAAAAACCGTGATGTTGTGTAGACGAAGGTAGGTGGCCACAGGGGCCAGACACTTTGTAAAAGTCCTTGGAGCAGTGGAGAGTCCAAAGGGAAGAGCGCAAAATTGGTAAGCCGATCCCTTGAAGAAGAACCAGAGAAATTTGAAGTGATGTTCGTGAATGGAGATATGGAAATAAGTGTCCTGGAGATCTGTAAGAGGAATAACAGACTCTAGGGTAACCATGTGAAAACTCCTCGAATGAATGTAAGTGTTGAGGACCTGCAGATCTAAAATGGGGTGAAGACCGCCATCTTGCTTGGGAACTGTGAAGTAGCAGGAATAAAAAACGTTTAGAACATCTTGAGATGATACCCGTTGAATAGACTGTTTCTGCAGAAGGAGAGATACTTCGCTCTCTAGGGCAGGTGAGTAAGTAGTAGATCTGATGCGACCTATGGGGGGGAAAGCTCCTTGAACTCCAAGAGGTAACCATAACATATGATGGCAAGCACCCAATTGTCCTTTGTAATGATTGACCATTTGTCAAGAAAAGGGGGCTAGCCAGGGATGATGGGGTCGGTCGAGGAGCAAGGCTAGGGGAAGACAGTCAAATATATTGTTTGTTTTTCTTTGCAGATCAACGAAAAGGTTGACAGCACTGGACAGGTGCCTGGGAACAGAGGGAGGATTGCACCGATCCGGTGGAGGAGGTTTGTATTATCTATAAGATTGCTGGTGGTATGGTTGTTGGAAGTTGAATGGGTGACGCCACTGGTTGCGTTGGAATCTAGCCTGCTGAGTAAGATCAGGCTGTTTTGCAGATTTTATGCAGGTTGTCCATAACCTCGCCCGTCTTCTCATTAAAAAAGCCAACCCCATCAAATGTAAGGTCCTCTATGCGGGACCGAGTATCATCGGTGATCCCCACTGAGCGGAGCAATGTGTGTCTCCTGAGGCCAATAGCAGAAGCCATGGTCTTAGAAGCAGCATCTGCCATATGCCGAGAGGCCAAGTGTTGCTGTTTAGCCAAAACATACGCTTCTAGATGTGTATTGAGAGCCTCAGTCCTAGAATCCTCAGGGGAGGCCTGGAGGACTGAGAGAATCTTGTTCCATAGTTGCCTCTGATATGCCCCCATGGCAGCCTGATAGTTCAACACCCTCATTAAGAAGGATGCAAGAGAGTAGAGATGGCGGCCCAAGACATCCAGTTTTCTACCTTTCCTGTTCGTAGGTGTGACAGTAGAACGGTTCCCAGCCTGAGATTGGTTAGACTGCACGATAATGGAATTTGAGAGAGGATGCTTTGCCAGAAACCCAGTGTCATTCTTGTGGGCTCTGTAATGATTTTCAACACGCCTGGAAATCTGCAAAGAAGTAGCAGGCTTATCCTAGGACTCCTTAATAGGGTCCAGCATAACTGGAATGAAAGCAAGATTCAATGGAGGCGATTTCTCCTGACTGATGTCGTTGAAGACGAGATCTTGTTTGGGAGGAGGAGGTTGCTGATCGCTGCCTTCAGGCTTTCCCAGGGGGTAGACCAGGCCTACCATGGGAAGCCCTCCCCTGGTAGGCCGGGCCTACCCGGGAAAGCCTGGTAGACTGGGCCTACCAGGGGAGGACTTCCCCTGGTAGGCAAGGGATCCCCGGGAGATCTCCCATGGCAGCGGGGAAGCCCTGGGAGACCTGTGAAGGCGGTGATCAGTGGTGGTGGGGGACCCCCAGGAGGTCTCCCATGGTGGCAGGGAAGCCCCGGGAGGCCCCCGAAGGCGGCTGTGCCGGAAGCCTGGGAGGCTCCCTTTCCCTAACAGTTGGGGCGAAACAAAGAAGCAGCCTCTTTGCCACCAATGGTTAGGTTTTTTGAATTTCTCGCCTTTTCCCTGCCTTTTTCCGTTCGCAAGTCAAAGCTCTGGCCGCAAGTCAAAGCAAAATTTTGCAGCTGGAGCTGTTTGTAAGTCAAAACATTTATAGGTCAGGGGGTTCGTAAGTCAAGACACGAATCTACAGCTACATTGATTCAATAGATCTGCTCCAGTTGGCATTAGCAGATTTAGGCTTAAGTTCATAATTAATCATTATTCTAAGTTAATTACTCATAATCTTAACATCTGTTATTTATTAGCGTATTGTGTGCTTCAGGAGCACTTTCTACAAGCACATGCTTACATATACTATAATCCACTATGTACTCACTTAAAGATTGAAGTGCCAGGTGCTACCATTTAAATGACCATACCTCATCTTCAAATGAGTAAGTATGTTTTTCATTCACATCTTGGTCTTTGAAGCTCTGTTTCTGCTCGCTAGATTGTTTTTCTGAGTACATATTCTGTTTGGTTTGGAGATCGTCTGTGTAAAACCAGATATTGTTTGCTTAGAGACAGTTATGGAAGACCAACAGCAGAACTAGTTTTATACAGATATGAAAGTTTCTCAGGCTCATATGTTTTCTTTGTTCTTATAGTACTAATTCAGGACCTGGAAAAAATTATTTATTTGGATTACAACTACCAGAAACCCCCAGCTGGTATAGCCGTGCTGGCTGGGGTGCTCTGGGAGTTGTTTTCCAAGCTCTGTGTTTATGGTTCCCTTATTAAAACCCAGGGCTGATGGACAAGCATCATTTTTACCCCTACTCTTGATTGTCCTCTGCAAATGTATCATACGTAGATATTTTTCCTACTGACCACTAGGTTTCAGGTACAAGCCTTTCAACAGGGAAACGGAAGAAAGAAGTCACTGGAAACAAAAAAATTAGTAGGCATGGAAAAATTAAGCAAGCTTTCTACAAATTGATCCTGCAAGTTCCTTTGCCCACTACATCTGAGATACGAATTACCAATACATATTCTGAAATATAGGGTAGTCATATAATCAATACAAAATAAAATCCAATTGCAAAAATAAGCAATACCTTTACAGTTAGTCCTAAACTTGGTGAGCTTACTCCATTGCCACCCAATTTCCAGATGGAGGACTCAGGTTTTCTGTGTCACCCCCCCCCCACCCCAGCCAAGCAGGAAAATGTCTATTTCAAAGAAAAGCCAAGTGGGTAGGGGTGTGGGTGGGTGTGCATAGCTAGTGCTTCTTAGTTTGAAGAACTGGGGGTTACACTCAATCTACAGCAGCCTCAGCTGTAACCACAAAACAGCAACCATAATATTTCCTGAGTTACATCTAAGAGAGACGTGCCTAGTGAATTCCTCTTTGCCATGAACTTTTGGATAAAGTTCTCAATACTGCTACACAAATGTCTAACCCCACAATAAAATCCTGATTTGTGAATTTTTCTCAAATGCTTTCTAACCAGGGCTTGAGTGTTGAGGCCATTAGTTTAAGTAATTCTAACAGCAAAGATGCATTCAAATAAAGAGTGTTTGACATTAGAGCTCAAACAGATATGGCGGCCTTATCTTCAGTGCAATCAATGAAATGGCTAGCGAGGTCTAAAGCTATTTTTCAGGTAGAAAAATACATGCTGTTTTCAAAGAAAAAAATATCCATATCGCGTTTACCTGTCTCTGTTCTGAGCTTACGGAGACAAGGATGTTACAAGTCCAATATCAGGGCATTCCCATACAGCAGACTTGGGCAAAGTGCGGCCCGAGGGCCACATACGGCCCGCGAGCCGCTCCTGTCCAGACTGGATTTCTCTCACTGAACAAGCTGAACATCAAAACCATTTATAGCTTTTTGTCTAAAGTTGATCAGTTGTTTATCTTTAACATACTGCAAAAAAACTCTTTTGTATTTGTGAAGATTAACAAGTTTAAAATAAAAGCAATCAACATCACTTTTTCATTTTATTTTAAAGTAAAGTTGGTTCGGCCCCTGAACACAGTTCAGATTTTTCATGTGGCCCCTGTAGAAATTAATTGTTCACCCCTGCCATACAGGATAGATTGTGTATTTGTGGGACAGCAAAAGCTGAAGATCTGGCACATTATCTATTACATTGTCAATTATATGCTAAAATCAGAAAACTCTACTTAACACCCTATGGAGCGTTGGGGGGCTGGGGCTGATGAGGGTAATTTGACTTATTTATTGCAAGGGGTTAACCCCCATTTAACTCATAAAGTGGCCATTTTTGCTGTAAAATCAGCAATCCTGAGGAATCAAGAAATCAGTAAGGGATCTGTTTAGTTGAGACATGCCACTAAAGAGGTTCACTAGTTAGGTATAACCACTAAGAGGTTACCTGGAGCGTCAATGGGGTTTGTTTTAAATAGTTGTTTTAAAGGTAATTTTTATGCATATTTATAGTTGTTTATTATCATTTTATACATTTATTTATATTTATATGTTTTGCTATGTAATATTGAAATGGTCTGTTGCTTTATTCAATAAAGACATATGCAAGTACAGTGGTGCCTCACTAGACGATTACTTTACAAAACGGTTAATCCGTAAGACAATGGGTTTTTGCGATCGCTATAGCGCTTTGCAAAACCGTTTTCCCTATGGTCAATTTTCGCAAGACGATGTTTTGGTCCGTGCTTCGCAAGATGGGTTTTTTTCGCCCGAGACGGTTTTTCACAAGATGATGATTTTTGACAGCTGGGTCCGCGACTCGCAAAATGTTTTTTTTAGGGACATTTTTTCACAAGACAGTGATTTTGAAGCTGGGTCCGCACTTCGCAAAATGGTTTTCCTATGGGCGATTTTCGCAAGACGACATTTTTTCCCCATTGGAACGCATTAAATAGATTTCAGTGCATTCCAATGGGGAACCGCATTTCGCAAGACGATATTTTCGCAAGACAGCAATTTTCACGAACTAATTAACATTGTCTTGTGAGGCACTACTGTAATTAAAATGAAAGAACCATACTGCTACACACCTGATGAACTGGTTTTTTAATCCATGAAAGCTTGTGTATTGTATGATGACTTTTTAACGGTCTATAAAGGTATTGCCTATTTCTCTATTTGCATTTTATAAAGAAATGTAGTTACAGTGGGGTCTCTACTTAAGAACTTAATCCGTATTGGAAGGTGGTTCTCAAGTTGAAAAGTTCTTATGTTGAATCTGCATTTCCCATAGGAATGCATTGAAAACCATTTAATCCGTTCTGGCTGTTTTTTTGTTATGTAGAGGTGAGTTCGTACATTGAAGCATTAGTTCCCATAGGAACTAATGCAAAGCTGGTTAATACGTACTGTAGCACTAGGGGGAGAATTTTTTTTTAACCTAAGATGACCCAAGGTTAAAAAAAGAGCAGGAAAGTTTTTTTTTCCTGTTCTTATCTTGGATTTCTGTTCTCAAGTAGAAGCAAAATTTATCAAATGGAGCTGTTCTTAAGTTGGATTGTTCTTAAGTAGAGACGTTCTTAAGTAGAGACCCCACTGTATAAGACATGGCTGTGGCACAGTTTTACTTCTCTAGTAGAGGTTTCCTCCTTTTCCAGATACCAGAGGACAGGTTCTGCTATATTTTAATGTAGGCTTTTATGGACAAGTACACTTCTTCAGATGAAGAAGCCCACATTAAAATGTATTAGTTAGTGTTCAAGGTGCCACAACGTTTATTTCTTCTTTTTTTATTTTTTTATTTTTTTCTTGCACACACTAACATGGGTACTCTTCTAAAACTACAACTACATAATAATTACATTTCAGCAAGTCAAGTCTGACTTATGACAACCCTCTCCAGGGCTGTCTTGATACAGAATGCTCAGAAGTGGTGTGCTGTTCCTTTCTTCTGGGGGTGCCCTGGGACTGTGCAGCTTTCCTCTTGAGATGTATGGGGTGGCTCTCTTCTTCAGACGTACAGGGATTCAAATTCCCAGTCTCAGATTCTGCAACCAGTTACCTAACTCACCAAACTATTTAGCCAGCTATACTGTACATAAAGTATTATGTGCTTACATGGCATCAAAATGAATTGAATCAATAGAAAAAAAAATAATACTTACAAATAACTTTAGAATTATTGGTGCAATTCAAACATGATATTACATAAAATATGTACTACTTATTCATCAACTGAAATGAGTTTCATTGGAGGGTGCTTTTGACTTTTCTTCAGGAAAAGATATCATAACAATTACCTTTATAATCTAGAGAAGTGTTGGATGAAAGAGCTCTTTTTAGTTGCATTTTATATTTCCTTTCAATCTCTAAAATGATTTTGTGTTGTTCACATAGATACTGGCAAGATTGCAAAATCTTAATAAAATTTTGGCTATTCAAGGAAAGCCCTACTGCTTCACAGCCTGCAACAAGAAGAAAAAGATTATTACACAAACAGAATGTATGTGTAGAAAATCATTTTAATAAAATATGTAATAAACTATTTCAGGCTGTATATTTGCTTTTAACCACACCGTGACAAATATATTATTCTAAATTTTGACTTTCTGTGTTTAATATCCGCAAATCTGGCAAGTTCTTATTGTGAAAATCCTGATCAATATGGCACATTAACATTGAACCCAGCTACCACTGAATGTGTGGTACCACACTTACAATTGGCCAAGATGCAAAAGGATGAGAAACTGCTATTTCTTAACAATATTTTTAAAAGTAATTCCATCTATAATTTTAAAAACTGTTTACATATAAAAAGAGCTAACTGTCTAATATCAAAATAAATTTCCCACTTTGCAATGCAAGCCTAACTCAAAGATGACTAGCTGTAGGTAACAGAAGAGGCAGAAGTCTATTCTGCCAGCAAAATTCCTTTTATGCTGGAAGACATGTAATTGTGCCAAGGAAAAAAATCACTTCTTCTGGACAATCTTTGACATCAGTCAGCAGAGCGAAGACCTAAAGAGGGACAGGACAAGGGACAGAGGAGCAACACAACCACTATGTAGCATAAAGTCAGGTCAAGGTGATGGCCATCCTGAATAACTGTGCAATCCTGCGTCAGAGATCTGCCAACTGTAGAATCCTCATTTGCTGTCAGAAATCCCATTAGCAGAAATGACCTTGTGCTGGCAGAGCAATTGGACTAACTGGCCTCAGAAACTGGCCAGTGGAACTATCTAAGCTTGTGGGCTAAGCTAAGGCAAAAGAGCTAAACATGTTACAAAACAGAGATGGAGTAAGGGAGGAGCTACAAGATGCCAGATCCAAACCTCCTTCAGTCCAAAGCCACAGGCATTATGCTAGCACAAAGTTAGACCAAGACAAGGATAGTCTTAAATAATTTCCAACCTTGCTAGGCTGGAAGAGGGTACTTCATCTGGACAAGTGTGATCTCAGATGGCCCTCAGCCACCCTGTCTAGTAATTATTGTTCTCTTAAGCTGCAATCATCACATACATGCTAATTCAGATGGACTTCCTTTACAGCAGACAGTTTGTGGAACTGCACTATTAAAACGAGATCCTTAAAAGAAGATTTAAAGAATATCACCTGAGCACCTTCGTTCTGGGATTTTAGGATCCTTGGAAGTAAAAATCCAATGACTTGTTGGTACTATGTTTGAACACAACAGCTCTATAAAAGATAAAATATATTCAGATTAATATCAAACATATAATAATACATTCATACATGGTTTGCACATTTTATATGCTTGACTATATTTAAGTCTTTATTGTCCTGTTCCAAGCCAGATGAGGCTAAAATTACATTGATTTATAATGCAGGAAATACAATGGTACTGGCATGCTCTGATTCATATTTTTCCCTCTAGTGACTTATTCTGGTAATTATGCCATGGAATACATATTTCTTGGGTGGAGTTTCTTTTAATCTTTTTAATATTTTCAGACCATGGATAAGTGAACCTGTGGCTACTGATCTTATGGATCAGTTATTCATAATGTAATTAATTTTTTTTAAAAAAAGACCAAGAGTTGCATAGCTGTAGCTGTGCCTCCTGCAAATCAGGAATTTTGTTTTGTTGAGAGCCCACCAACAAGTTCATAATGTTTAGCTTTGTCATTCACTTAAATAAATTAATTCAATTTCTAGCAACAACCAACCAAGTAATACTAAAATTAGAACAATATTTAAGTTAACTATACCTGTATTTTGTACCTGTTCAGTCATGTTTTTATTTGTAACATCAGATTGCTTAGCAGGTTCGCTGGAAGAATGAAAGGAACCTTCTTAAAATGGAAATAACTTCTAAAACACATAGTAATATCATTTATAAGCACTGCAGTTTCCCACAGTGTATTGTGTGAAAATCCTAGCCAAAAAGGGGGGCAATAATCATGGGGAGCTTGGAGAGATTTTTAATTTTATTTTTAATTTTATTTTATAGTATTGTGTTTTATGCATAGTATAATTTATTTATTTAAAATAATTCCTTTATTTATTTATTTATTTATTTAGGAACAGGGATAGAGGGTACAAAAAGAAAGAGGGGATAGGAAAGGAAAAATGGTTTTGGGGGATAGGAGAGCATAAAGTATAACATCATCCAATCAATTCATATTACTAATACATATCAACTTTTTGCTTTTTCACAATTTGATTACCCTCCTGCTTTTATCTTATCATTTAACTTTAATTTTATTCTATGTTATTCCAACATTGTCTGGTAGCTGCTGCCATTTATACAATACATCCCATCGTTCAGTTTCTTTTTGAATTGAACAGTCTTTCAGCCCATCTGACAGAATATCCATTTTTTTCACTTCCCATATTTTCACCATAAAATTGTCTGGTTTCAGTATCTCTGCCTCCTTAAGATTTTTGTCATAATGCTTTTTAATTTTGGAAGCTGCATGGGTCACTGGATAACTCTCTACT